TTCAAAGGATAATATTTCCCTTTACAGGTTGATATTTCCTATCAGAGGTTGATATTTTCTTTCAGAGGTTAGTATTTCTTATCAGAGGTTAATATTTGCTTTCAGAGGTTAGTATAACCTTTCAGAGGTTGATAGTTACTTTCAGAGGCTAACATTTACTTTCATAGGTTAATATTTCCTCATAGAGATAAATATTTCCTTTCGGAGGTTAATACATTCATACAGAAATTAATATTTCCTTTCAAAAGTAAAAATTTCCTTTTGTAGGTTAATATTTCCTTTCAGAGGTTAGTGTTTTCTTTCAGAGGTTATAATATTTCCTGTCAGAGGTTAATACTTCCTTTGAGAGGTTGATATTTCCTTTCAGAGGTTGATATTTCCTTTCAGAGGTTGATATTTCCTTTCAGAGGTTGATATTTCCTTTCAGATGTTGATATTTCCTTTCAGAGGTTGAAATTTCCTTTCAGAGGTTGATATTTCCTTTCAGAGGTTGATATTTCTTTTCAGAGGTTGATATTTCCTTTCAGAGGTTGATATTTCCTTTATGTTGGGAAGGGGGGTGAGGTGAGACCATGTTATGGGTCGGAAAGTTCAGCTAAAGGTGAATGTATAATACAGGGTTACCCAGAAAGGATAAGATTTCAGTTGCGATTGCACAGCATTTGTTTATTCCGTTTTCTTACATTCAGGGTTCCTTGTAGGCAAAAATGGCTTATTTCTGTGCTTAACCATTTTTTCAAACCATCAAAATACTCAATTTAATGCAAAAACCAAAAATCAAGATTCAAATAATTTTTAGAGCTTTGGGTCGCCTTTACAGTCTCATCCTTTGTGCTTGTTACCGTGTAGGTGTCATGTATGGGTGTAATGATATTGTATGCGAGAAATATATTGTTCCTTCATGGTATGCATAATTGCATATCCTTTAAAGTGCATATGCGCATTAGAATTTTAGAAACTAGTTTATTACGCTCCACAACAGCTGCTTGTTTACTGATTATTAACAATTGTTGCATTGACGTCGTAGAAATCTGAATAAAACCAGTATAAAACTAGATAATATGTGTATACTGATGTATATAACCAGATGATTACTGGATACTGGATACAACTAGATATGTCATATATTACAGTGGATACAAGGTTTTTTTATCAAATATGCAAGATTGTATTACTTGTATGACTGTATAGCAAGAAACTGATTTTTTTTCAACAAACTCTGATTTCTTTATATCTTTGCAATTCGATTCGTAGAATTCTGAATATTTCAAATATCCAGTCGCGGTTAGATAAAATAATCTAAGTTTGAAATATTAAAGATAGGATTAGATTAGAAAATTTGAGTTTGTGGCAAAAACTAATTTCTTTGTCCATCTTTTTTTCTAAAATTCCTACTAACCTGCAACATATTACAGATGCCTGATATGTTAGTGCAACCAATCACATTTGGGAATTCTGAAAATAGAATGTCTGATTAAATAAAAAAGAATTGAGTTTAAGTAAAATTAGTTGCATTTTCCCTATTTTCTGCGTTTGTTGATGTCAAAATGTAAATCAATTTGACCTCCGATGCCAAATTATCTTTGTGACCTAATTGTTATAGATTACTTCGATTGATGCAGCCTCCTATCTCAATGTTTAAAAACAAACGGAGCATTTCCAAATGTAATTCATTTGGTGTCACAAATTCCCTTTTAAGAACTGCATCACTCAACAAGTATTTTACTAAGAATAAGGTTGATTTAACATTAAGTATAGTTTTCGGGTAATGGAAAATTACATTTAAGTGTCGAACTCTTTAATTAGAATAGATAGTGATTTCTCGCATTTTCTTTTTGCATTATATCTTAATGAATGTTTTAAAAAAAAGAGACATTGACAAAAAAAAAAAAATTAGGTTATAGCGATATAACATAGCTGTATATCTATGCATCTTCTATCATCATCATTAATAAAATATTTTCTTGATAAAAAGGCACAATATAATCTCTGCAATGGTCATTAGACTTATCGTAACGATATGTCTTTATACGAAAAAAAGGGAAGTCGCCCGATAGATGCAAAGATTGGCTTAAAAAGGACAACCCTCCCCCCCTCTTAAACACTATACTGCACCAAACTCTATCTTTTGGTTTTCTTGGCAAACAATGATAAAAAAATAATCTCTGCAATGGTCATTAGACTTATCGTAACGATATGTCTTTATACGAAAAAAGTGGAAGTTGCCCGATAGATGCAAAGATGGGCTTAAAAAGGACAACCCTCCCCCCCTCTTAAACACTATACTGCACCAAACTCTATCTTTTGGTTTTCTTGGCAAACAATGATAAAAACAGAAAGTGAAAAGTGCTAGCCTTTTCCTTAATAATATTTTGTATGCTCAAAAATTACAACTATTTTGAGTCATATTTGAAACCTAATTTAAAAAAAAAGATATAAATCTAACCTAGCATAGATAGTACGGATGGGAGGGAGGTGGTTAGTACGGATAGTACGAGAAGCTAGTTTCGATAAAACTTGACGATTTTTATTTTCTTTGTTTCATTAGATATATTAACCCTGAAATTTACATTCTTTTTAAACAAAAAGGAAGAAAAAAATCCAAGACGATTTAAAAACTTGTTGAAAATTTCCATGTTTATTGCAGGATTGCCCCGCTCCCTGCAGACATAGTATTTATAAAAAATATCCCACGCACTTCTAACATGTTTTAAATGAATGGTGGAAAATTCCTGGGACAAGCTTTCTACATGCTTACAAAACTAAAACGTGCAGGTCAATTTTAGGGCTGGGCACGCTCCAACTTTGTCTAGCCGTTAAAAAATTAAAATTTCAGTTGGCCGTTAATTTTAAAAGTGAGAACGGAACGTTCGTTTCATTAACGGTATTTTTTTAAATTAACGTTAGTCAACAATCTCAATTTTACTAACGGCGTTAACGGAAAATATTCAACAAACGTTAACAGCTCTAGCCGTTAATGTGCCATAGGGTGTATGTATAAAATGCCTTATTTTTAGCAACAGCTTCATGTTAGATAAATTGAAGATGGTAGTAATATTTCATAATTTCTAAATAAAGATTTGAATTGATTTATACATAATTTTTGAAAAGAAAATGGTAGTAAGGGTAGTGTGAGGTTAAAAAAGTTCTGAGAAGTCTACATCATTTTTTATAGTAGCAAGGGTAGTGAGAAATTAAAAAAAAAATGTTAAATGAATTTTTAGATATTAAAAAGTCGGTGGCAGTGAGGGTATTGAAAAAAAAATTGAACAAAAAGTCCTAAAGAAAAAAGCAGCAGTTTAAAGAATTCTGAATTCAAATTTCTTGCTAATTTTTNAGTTCAATTTTGGAATCATTACGTTCCAATATTTTAAAGAGTGCGTTCTATGAATTCTGTTATTTTTTCGGAATGTGGGATAGTTTTTGATAGTTCCTTTTGTTCTTGTGAAAGAACGATCATTCCCCAGAATCGACTCCCAGCCCTTTCCCTGGCCTCCCTCTTCCCTGAGGGAGGGAAGAGTTAGGTTGAAAAAAATTGTTTCTATAATATATATTTGCATATCTTTTTAAATATTATTGAAGTATTGATTAGGGTTTCCACGAAACAGTCAATTCTCTTGCGCAACAGTTTCGTGGTCTTGCACGAAATGATTTTTTTTATACAAAATGCCGCATCATTTTCTTATCAATATGAAACCAGTTTTGCATAAAATTGCGCATTCGTTCAAAATAAATGATTTTTTTCTGCACAAAATTTTGCATGAATACGAAATTTGAGTCAGATTTTTTTCATGATATTGCGCATGAATACAGGTCATCTTTGCAATGCCCGTGAATACGAATTATTAAATTTGTGTACAGCAGTATTGTGCATGAAAACGAATTTTCAAGGAACAGGGGATGGGAACGTTCTTGACTAAGAACTAAATGGGGATGGAACCCTTCTTCGACTAAGAACACCAAGAACGGAACAGAACGGAAGGAGAACAGAAGCATTTGAAAAAAATAGAACAAGAACAGAATGATCTAGCTGAAAAAGGTCCTTGTTAGCTAGAACAGAATTCAAAATGATTTTAAAAAGTCAGCACGTGCCCAGCTCTATGGGCACCAAAACATGTTTGTTTCCTGTACTGAAATCCACATTAAATAATTTTGACTGGGCGGTAACAGGGGGTGAACAGGGTGGGCAATAATTACGCCCCCCCCCCCTATGGATTAAATCTTGCAAGAATAATGCGTCCCTGTTGCCATGGGTCGAGTCAAAAGCATGGAAAATTATAAAATATTCATTCCAACATTGACTTTTTCAAATTTATTGTTGTGTATTTACTATATTCTCAAGAATTTTTTTAATTTTATTTTTGAAATATATATATTAAATATATCCCTGAATTATATTCGTGCAGGCCCAGACCTAGGCCTTACCAGACAAACCCAGCCTACCGTGTTTGCTTGTCACACCATAAATTAGATAACCTAAAGATCGATGGAGGCTTGGCTTGCGCATGCGCATTCTAGCCAGCCTCCGTCTTTTCTACAAATACCAGGCTTACCACTCAGATGCCATTAAAGGGATGTTTCTGACTGATAATGTGGAAGATATTGTAGAATTTCTAGGTTCAAAAGTTTTTATAATTCCTCACATTTTAAGAGAACCACCAATAAGTTTTCATAATTATCAACACTCTATTTCATACTTAATCAAACAAAGCTTTTTGGGGTACCAGTATTGCCATCTTTGCATGGAGGGTCCCTTGAAATTAAACTTTCACTTCCTTTAAGAAAAAAGATTATAAAGAAAACATAAGTACAATAAATATGGGTACTGCAGCAGGAGAGGTTAGATCACTGTGAAGTGTGAATCAAAGGTTTCAAGCTCGCACTCATAAATCTATAAGAATTTTACCAATTACTTCTTAAAAACTAGCGCTACTAACAAGTGCTTACAACTCCAAACATACATGTCTAGTCTAGAGACCTATAGTTGTAGAAACTAGAAACTTGTTACTAGTTACTACTCGAAATTCCGCAGTGCACTGTGCAGTTGCGGGCACACTCTCATAGAGTTGATAGGGTACACAATAAGTGATACTAACAGAGCTGATACAAGTTAATATTTGAACGACTGATTACTGTAAAATTAATCAGTTTTTATCTAACGCAGGACATAACAGATGTGTGTTATTTCCGTGTGTTTTCTCCTGTGTATAGCTGTGCTTGATATATACGTCTAGACAATAAATTCTGGAATATTCCAGAGCAGCTTATGCAACCGTAAACAGAGAGAAGTAATGGCTACCCCGATACCAATTCCTGGTTCATTTCCCCATCGATCCAACAGTTTATCGTCCGATGGAACCGGTAGTCCAGGATCTCCGCCGGCGGGAACGTCGTTTTTTGGGAAGTCAAGCTCCGCCAAACGAGAGAAAAAAACAAGCGTTGTTGCCGCCCAATCTCCACCTTCTCCCTCCACAGTGAAACGCCTTCTCAGAATAAGGTAAATTTAGTTAATTTAATATATGAAGTCATTTATAGGAACCGTTGTTTCCATTTCAAGTAAATAATGATATATTAAATGTTCTGTCCGATCTTATCACATAGATATCTTCGTTTTATTTAAAGTTAAATCTTTAATACTGACCATTTCCTCCATTTTTTCTTTAGAAGTATCAAGCAATTGTCACTTTTATACATCAGATCCCAAAAGTGAAAATGATAATTTTTTTAATTTAAAAACATGGATTTATCATTCATACTAATTAGCTTGGAAAACTTTAAAGGATGTAAATGGATGGTCAATTTCATTTAGGGACTGTACAGACAAATATTAAGATTTATGTATCGCCGTGATTATGTAACATCTAGTCCATTTAACGAACTTACAATAGACACAATTTGATTTTAGATCTGTGGCGATACATTACTTATACCTTTTTGTGCCAAATTTTAGTTTTTTGGCTGTTTTATTATTAATCTATCGCATGACATTACTAATCTATCACATGACATTACTAATCTATTGCAATACATTACTAATTTATCACCTGATATTACTTATATATTCCATGTTTTTACTAATCTATCCCATGATATTAATAATGTATCGCATGACATTAAAAATCTATCACATGACATTACTAATCTATTGCAATACTTTACTAATCTATCGCCTGATATTACTTATATATTCCATGTTTTTACTAATCTATCCCATGATATTACTTAAATATCCCATGAAACTACTAATCTTCCTTGATATTACTTATCTATCCAATAATATAATGTAACAAATCTAGACGCTACTTCTCTAACGATTACTTAACTCAAAGTCTAATGAGATTCTCTCTAACTAACTCTCTAGCCAAAACTCAAGGCTCTGTATACGTCCGTTCTGATCAACTAATGATATTCAACTACTTTATTTATAAACAGGTAAAATGAACTGACCGGGCTAGCCCGGCTGGGTCAACATACAAAATAGTTAAGATAATAATATTACGAATACAGATAATAAATTAGAATTGCACATCATGGTAGAATATACTTCAATAATACTAATCTATTTCGTGATCTTACCAATGTATCCCATGATATTTCTAATCTATACCATGAAGTTACTAATGTATTACATAATATTTCTAATCTATACCATGAAGTTACTAATGTATTACATAATATTACTAATTTAATTCATGATATTACTAATGTATTACGTGATATTACTAATGTATCCCTTAATATTACTAATTTATTCCTTGATAATACTAATCTGCCCCATGATAATACTAATCTGTTCCATGATATTACTAATGTAATACATGATATTACTAATCTATCCCTTAATATTACTGATTTATTCCATAATAATACTCATCTGCCCCATGACAATACTAATCTGTTCCATGATATTACTAATGTAATTCATGATATTACTAATGTATCCCATAATATTACTAATCTATTTCATGATAATACTAATCTGTTCCATGATATTACTAATCTATCCCATAATATTACTAATCTATTTCATGATATTACTGATATATCCCATAATATTACTAATATATTTCATGATATTACTGATCTATCCCATAATATTACTAATCAATGACATGATATTACTAATGTATCCCATGATATTACTAATGTATCCCATGTTATCACTTATGTATCACATAATATCACTAATGTATCCCATGATATTACTAATGTATCTCATAATATTACTAATGTATCCCATGATATTACTAATCTATCCCATAATATTACTAATCTTTCTCATTTTAATTAAATAGATAACTCAACTTAAATTCTAATTTTGTAATTATTATATCTTTGCTACCAAATTATATTCGGTATTTTAAACTAAGAAGAAATATCATAGGTTCACACCGTTAGATTGCAAAGATATTTGGATAAGGATTTGAGGCAAGAAGTCAGTTTATTGATTCCATGGTACTATTTATTTGTCCCATGACGCCACTAATTTTTCATTCATCTATTTGAAAATGTATTTTTTTGAAAAGGAAGGAATAACCATTAAATACTTTATTCACTTTTTTGACAATTTTGTTAGTATACTGCGGTGAAATTACTCCTTTTTGTAATTTTTAATCCAATCTTCTATGTCTTTTTATCCCCATACTTCTTGTTTTTTAGTTTCTACGATAATGTTTTTTTCTTCCTATTTTATCTTTTTTTCTGCGTTATATAATTTTTCTTTTTTCTAGTCTTTTTCTTCTTTTACTTCTTGTTTTTATTCTTGTTCTTGTTCTTGTTCTTGTTCTTGTTCTTGTTCTTGTTCTTGTTCTTGTTCTTGTCCTTGTCCTTGTCCTTGTCCTTGTCCTTGGGCTTGTTCTTTTTCTTTTCCTTGGCCTTGTGTTTGTTCTTGTTCTTGTTCTTGTTCTTGTTCTTGTTCTTATTGTTAGTTCTTTGTTAGTTTTATTTTTGTACTATTTTTATCCATTATACTTGTTATTTTAACTTGTTATTTTAACTTGTTAATTTTTCTCTCTCAGGAAGATGTCCGAGATGTCCCGAAGTCCTACTGCTGGAAATATTACAACTATACCGACAGAGGTCTCTGATATCAGTCTTAGTTGGACTAAACTAGTGATAAACCAATACAGGTATCATAATAGCAATATTCAGTCTTTATCAACCTTACAATCAATTTTTTCAATCATCTTATCAGTTAACTCAACCGTCTTATCAGTTTTATCAATCGTCTAATCAGTTTTATCAACCATTCAATCAGTTTTATCAATCGTCTAATCAGTTTTATCAACCATTCAATCAGTTTTATCAACCATCCAATGAGTTTCATCAATCATCCAATCAGTTTTATCAATCATTCAATCAGTTTTATCAATCCATCAATCAGTGTTATCAATCCTTCAATCAGTGTTATCAATCCTTCAATCAGTGTTATCAATCCTTCAATCAGTTTTATCAATCCTTCAATCAGTTTTATCATTAATTCAATCAGATTTATCAATCCTTCAATCAGTTTTATCAATCATTCAATCAGTGTTATCAATCCTTCAATCAGTTTTATCAATCATCCAATCAGTTTTATCAATCATCAACAGTTTCATCAATCAGTTCAATCAGTTTTATCAATAATCCAATCAGTTTATGCAATAATTTAATCAGTTTTATCAATCATCCTTATTAATCATCCAATCAATGTTAACAAATTTCCAATCAGTTTTATCAACCAACTAATCCGTTATATCAACCATCCAATCAGTTTTATCAACCAGCTTTCCAATCACTTTTAACAACCATCCAATAAGTTTTATCAATTATCTAATCAGTGTTACCAATCATTTTTATCAACCATCTGCAATCAGTTTTATCAATCATTTAATTTTTATCAGTCATCCAAACAAGTGATTGTCAATTCTACGATCAGTTTNTAAATAAATACCATCTGTTGGCTAGAAAAAGAACAAATAAATCCACAGGTTCTGTGTGACCGACTGCAAGAAGAGCTCTGGTGACCTGAGTACTACCTGTAGAATATCGGTAGATATGAGGGTTCAGAACCAACCTGTTAATTATGTGTTTATTGCTAAACTACTGCCGGCAGACGATCCCTGCCGAGTCTACGTGTTCGAGTCCAATGTGTTCGAGAAAGAGATCTCCATCTACTTCGAGTTGTTGCCCTGTCTCCGGCAGTTCTGTGAAGGATCCAAACTCGAGAAGGAACGCAATATAAATCATTCTAAACTTAATATTTATTTTTCTCTTTCCAAGTGCGCACTGCACATTTTTTAATCGATTTAATTTTTTTTTGATTAATAAAATCAAAACTTGATGGAATGAAAAAAGTGATGCATTTTAAAAAAGTAATTCCCATAACTACGTATATAAGTGGACTAATAAACGAATGCGTAATACACGTTGTTTATATTCCAAACATGAATATTTAAACCTTAAATGTCCACAGGTCTGACAATTTAAATACAAAAATAAGATCTTTACTGTTTACATTTTTGATAAAAGATGTGTTTATATTGTCAAATATCTAGGTAATACAGAACCGTATACCTCAATGTATCTACGGATCAAACAACTGTGATGGAGCCGGAGTTCTTGTATTTGAATGCGCCCAGGAGAAGGGTTTCGTCCACCCCGTCAACCCCGACGGTCTCACTCTCGACCAAGTTCTTTCAACCGTCAAGTTTATGGCAAACTTCCACGCCATTGGGTCCGCCATGTTGATCAACAAGGGTAAAATGTTAACCCTGAGATACCCGTTCCTCTCTTATAACGTGTACTCCAGTCCCATCATGCAGGAAGGAGCACGTAGAATGTTTCACATCTACTCCGAGTTCCTGACCTCCGTGTCAGGGGAGCTCAAGCTCCAGGACAAGTTTAACAAGTACTGCAACGAGGAGTGCGCAGCTAAGGAGATGTTTACCTGCCTCCGGCGTCAGGTGGACTCCCCCTTCAACACCATCATACACGGGGAGTTGTGGGAGAAGAACATCTTGTTTGGAGAGATGAATATGGAGTGTGGGGAGGTGGAGCTTCAAAGCATCCTGCTTGACTGGAAAAACGCAAAGATTGCGTCAGCAACAAAAGATCTTGCATTCCTGCTTCTCTCCTCCACCTCCAACTCACTGAGGAAGACGCACATAATGGATATCCTCCGAACTTACCATACCATCTTTTGTGAGTCCCTGGAGGCCCAGGGGGTTAACACCGCTGAGTGTCGTAGCTTCTCGTTCGAAGATTTCTTTGCTGATTACGCTATGAGTACAAAGGGTGCGTTCCTGCAGTCTGTGTGCGTATTAGTCCAAGAAATGACGTTTATGGAGTATCAGCTGACAGAGAACGAGGAACCCCACCATTATACTCATCTAACTGCTTACGAGAAGCGGGCCCTTGATCTTATCGAAGACGACATTCTCAACAAAACCCATTTTTCTTAATAATTCATCTCAGTTCCTATATTCATATATCTCAATTAATATCTGAAAGTGAAATCTCTAATATGATATTACTATCATTGAACTTTTACAAGAAATACTATTTTTTAATTCTCTACAGATGTTTCTTTGATTGACTTGTTTATGTGTGAATTGTTTAATTGGTTTTCATTCATCGTTCATTGATACAAAATGGAATTCAGTTTATTTACAAAATGTAATTCAGTTTATTTACAAAATGTAATTCCTAAAATGTCGATAATTGTAAAACTCATTGCTCTTTTGTGAAACATAACCAGAAAAATATATTTTAATGCTATAATCTTTACTAAGACTTATAAAGATACGAAGAATTGTCTTCTAACTGACGGCGCGCATAGAATTGAAATGTAAAAACCTGAAGTCTGACTTTTGTATAGCCCTTAAATTGATATATTCAATAAGTTGGCAAAAATNAGAACGTTTTTTCTGAGCATTTAAAAAGTCATGATTATGTTATGGTGCACCATGGGCCATGCTATTCTTTTGGGAAAAATTATTTTATTAATTGGAACGGGAAATATAATTTTTCATACAAATAAGTGCATTTCAATAAAAATCAACTTTAATTTAAAAGTTGCCTCATTGTAAATTGAAATTTTCTTACATGTCATTTTTTAGATTTTTATTGCAAAATCTATTTTGTATAGTCTACTCTATATTTTACTAATTATGAGGATTGAAGTCAAAAATGTCGTCTGTGATGATGTGATCTTCAAACAAAGGTTGTTTGAGATTTGTCAAAATAAAAAATATCCGAAAGATTTGAGCAGAGCTGGAGACTCCAAATTTTTATCTTGAGGGTGTCTAATGAAATTCTGGGGTCTCCAATGAAATTCCAGAGTCTGCAATGAAAATCTGGGGTTCTCCAACGAAATATGAAGTCTCCAATAAAAATCTGGGGGGCTCCAATGAAAATCTAGTGTCTTGTCTCCAATGAAAATCTGGGGTCTGCATTCTGCAATGAAAAGTGTGACACATGTTTCTACATCCAAGGACTTTTTACTCACACCGAAGTTGTTACGCCCTGTACCCTTCGTTATGCATTAAAAAAAAATATTTTTTTTTACAAAGAATCCGTTTAATTTCTATTTAATAATGGGACCTGCTAGGACAAAACTAGAGTGGGGACTGACATTTGACGCCTGTTTAGGGTTGAGGAGGTTTGCAGTTTTCAGGTTGCTTCAACCCAAGGGTTTTTGTCTAGCTCGAACTTTACCGACCTAAAATTCCGGTTAAAACTAATAGAAAACTGTACTTTATGACATCTAACAAATTTTACAATTCTAAAATTTGCAAAGTTTTCGTGAAATAAGAAATGCAAAAAATTTTGCGAAGAAACCTGGAATTTTAAAAATTAAAGAAAAACTTTAGCAAAAATTAATCATAAAAGACAAAATACAGCTTCAACACTAATGGTTGGCGCGAAAAAATTTTTCTCGAAATTTGGCTTCGTTTTCGCATTTTTTCGCGCAACTTTTCGTTGTCTGGAAACCCTATTTGTAAGCAAATTTTGAATTGTTTTAGACAAGTGACGGGATCGTTTTTCTGGAAGACGACATTTATAATATATTAGATTTACAGTTAATAACTTTGAAAAAACAAGATCTGGAATCCGGATTAAATTTTGCAACATTATTTGCACATTTTAGTTTCCAGTAAAAAGAGAATGATTGAAAAAGAAAAATTACTAAAAAAGACCTGCAGTTGATGAAATTCATGAATCCATTGTTAGTATTTTTCTTTGTTTGTAAATTTTGCTGATTTTGTGATATATTGCGAGTTTATCTATGTTAATATAAGTTTACTTATTTTGTTTCTTTTTGAAGCACAGGTTCCAACCTCGAGCGTAACTTTAAAACTAAAGATAAAACAAATGCCAAAATGTGCATGTAAATAACTGCAATAAGTATAATTGAGTTGCGAAACTTAAAATACAACCCAAGCTTACAAATTGATGCAATTTTTCATACCTGTCCGAGGCTTCGTGTATGAGTTTGCTGATTTTTTTTGCTGTGCAATCTTGTTTCTTTGTGTGTTCTGCTGAGTTTGTGTGTGTGTAATATTATGTGTTTGTGTGTTGGACCGTTTATGTGTTTGACACTGTGCTAGGCCTCGAAGCTGCCTCCAGCTCCTCCAGTCTAGCCCAACCTCTGTCCTCGCCGGTATATACGTCTAGCAGATACATATCCTCCTCCTAGACACTTATACATCGCCTTGAGACAAGGGAATGCGAGGTTTAGATTCGTCTTCGCAAAATATGTGCATAAATTCTGCAAAATGAGAACAAACCTCCTCAAAGTAATTCAGGTATTTATTGGCATAGTGCGGAAAATTCGCAAATTGGGAAAAAGGCTTAGCTCGCCCGTTATACGGGTAAAAGGAAAAAAAGCGTTATATATATAGCAATATCCATCATAGTTCTCCTTATTCATGGAATGGAGTTTTTACTTTTTCCTGGAACTAAAATAGTTCTTTCTGACTTTTTGGCTGTATCATCATTCACCAGTCTGCACAATACAAAGTATTTCTTTATTTTCTTTATTTTTATAATATAATTCCAGAGCTGAGAGCAGTGTTAAATACTCATAATCTTGATCGCCTGATCTTGATATTCGCTTTGGGCACTTTTAATTTGAGGAACAATAGTTGCTTATTGCTCAATCACTTTATTTCAGTTATGGTTTCAGGCCAGGTATAGTGTTAAGGGATATAGAATAGATTTAAAATTAATCTGCAGAGCATTGATCTCGACATTCACAATACAAGAGTTCATAGCTCATAAGTCAGAACTTTTGTATTGGGAGTCTTGGGATCATGCAATGATCTCTACATTATTTATTCAATTCCTCTTCGATATCCTGCCGTTGTCAAACTCTGATTACTTTGATTGAGGGATCAATTGCATTTATCACCAAATTTAAAGATCCCCACTTTGAATATCGAGATCAAGATCGTTCAAGATTTATTCTTCACAAAAGTTCCGACCGTAGAGAACTCTTTTCTCAAGATTTACATAGTTCCATTAAAGTTTTCCTAATTCTTTGAATGAGATTTATTCTTTCAATTTTCTTGAGATTAAAATAATTTGTTTTTACCTCAATATTTCTGATCAAAGTTTATCCAGTATTTTCTTTTTCCTTTTTCTTTTTTGGAACTTCAGCAATACATTTATTTGTAAAGTCGTAATTAGTTTCACACTTTTCAACTTAATGTCTGAAATTCAAGAGAAATATAAAATGGATTCAATTGGTTGGTTTCTTTTCTTTTAATGGACTATTCAGACGAAAACAATTCATCTTAGTTTTATCAAGCATTTCTTTCAAATCAAAATATTGTAGGAATTATAAAACAGACCCTTTCAGCCAATTTATTTCATTAATATCATACAGTTCCCGTAAGCTTATTTTTGAAGAGGTTCTCAAACAGTGCATCTTCAAAGTGAACCTTCATGTAAAGATGGTAATGTCCGATTTACAACGATACCCCTGCGGATTGTCAGATAAAGTGTTAATTACATTTGCATTATCGGTTTCTTGCACATTTCTTGGTTAAAAGAGGAAATGGAGAAATTATAAGATCTAAACACTTTCCGAGTAAGGAAAATGACAATATCTTCCACATTTTTGATCAGATTAAAGTTTCAAGGCTACCGTTGTAAATCTAGCATTGCTATCTTTGCATAGAGTTTAACTTAATTATGCGTACAGTCCCTGTAAGTAAAATTAATACAGTAATGGTGAAGCCCGAGGAAGAAGAGGAGAGAGTGAAATTATTAGAATCTCCTGAACCTGATCTTTATCTTCAGCATAACCTAGAGAAGGGGAAACCATTCCTCAGTCCTGATATTAAAGATAGATTTAGTTCAAGATTCAACCGAACCCACGCCGCCAGCGGTTTATCCGATAGAGGAGCTAGAAGGAATCGAACCTATACCGCCAGGGGATTATCAGATCAGAGGACCGGGGGGATGAGTTCGGACGAAAACAGTTCTCCTGAATCCTCTTTGAAGGTACTGCTTAGAGTTTAAACCCCTTAGATTCATTACTTATGCATAGATTAACTAAGATTTTCCGACGAATATATAGGAGTAGTTTAACCTTTTGCGTGTATTGGCTAGCTATGCAGTAACCTTTCTTATCTAAAATAGATTATAATATAGAAACCTTTTTAGGTTATATAATAACTATAATCTTTTGTAGTTCATGGACTAACTAGAATTTTTATTATCCATAGATTAACTAGAAACCTTTTAAATTAATAGACTATCTATAAACCTTTCTAGTCCATGGACTAGTTAGATAAAATTAGCTAGTCCGTAGACTAACTAGAAACCTTTAGCTCTTAGACTAACTAGAAACCTTTCAGTTCATAGACTAACAAGAAACCTTTCAGTCCATAGACTAACAAGAAACCTTCAGTTCATAGACTAACTAGAAACCTTATAGTTCATAGACTAACTAAGAACCATTATAGTTCATAGACTAGCTATAAATCTTTCTAATCCAAAGACTACCTATACTCATCTTTCTAGTCTAAAGACTACATACAGTGAATCCCTTAATAACGAATACATCGAAAGAATTCATCAAATGTTGTATTCTTTATTTTCTGATAATGGAATGTTGCAGATATTTAGCTCTTAATTAAATGATTATATGGAACTCTTTAAAAATGTTCCCGCATATTCATGGCTATTTATTTATTTTCGCAAATACTGAAATTTACGTAATATTGAAAAATTATCAAGACGACATTTGATAAATTCTTCCGATGTATTCGTTATTAAGGGTTTCACTGTATAATCTTTCTAGTCTAAAGAAAATCAAAGAAGCCTTTCTAATCAATAGACTAACTATTATATTTTCTAGACTTACTGAACCCTTTCTAGTCCATAGACTAACTTGATTCTTTCAAGTCCATAGACTAACTTGATTCTTTCTAGTCCATAGACTAACTTGATTCTTTCAAGTCCATAGACTAACTTGATTCTTTCTAGTCCATAGACTAACTTTATTCCTTCTAGTCCATAGACTAACTTGATTCTTTCTAGTCCATAGACTAACTTGATTCTTTCTAGTCCATATAGTTACAATTTCATCAGCATTAAAGATAATTTTAAAAAGAAACTTTTTTGATAAACTTTTTAAAAACTAATTATACGCCTAACTTTCTTTCCATTTTATATACTTTATTTGGCTCTGTATATTCATATCCAAGTTTTAAAATGAAAATATTCACTTTTAATGGAATTTTGTTTGTGTTGGCAGGGACTTTGAATTTTTAGTTTAGTTGAGCTAATATTTAGGGAATAAAAGGATCAAACAGCATGACATATAATAAACATATTTTACAGTATGGTGTTCATATAAAAAGTATTTAATTTTTTAGAACAGGTAATTTTTGCCAGACTCATACCCCCCCTCTCTCCTAAAAGTTTATCCCGACTTCGCGTATATTTTCCAACAAAGTTTATCCGAAGATCAATACTTTTGAATTGTGAATCTTGGGATTAAGCATTGATTTACATCTGGGTTTTTTTTGCTCATTTAAAAATTCAAAACTGCTTTTTTCAAATTTTGATTTTTTTTAGGTTGTTCGAGATATATTAGTAGAACTGGAGAAAATGGAAGGAGATCAAGATGATATTGAAAAGGAAGGAGAAGAGGAGAAGGAGGAGAGGAAAGAGGAGGAGGAGAAGGTAGAGGAAAAGGAGTCCAATTCAGACACACAAAGGAGTACCAGGTAAAACGCATTTGATGATGATGATGATGATGATGATGATGATGATGACGATGATGATGATTATGATGATGATGATGATGATGATGATGATGATGACGATAATGATGATGATGATCTAGACTACCTGGTTGCTTGATTGTTGATGTACACCTGGAGAAGGGGGAAGGAGGAGTGTCCAAACCTAATCTTCAACCTTTAGATAGGTAAAGATTAAAACAAAAGTTTAATAGAGCCAAAACATTTGGCAAGAGGTTTGGTATGGATGGGGAGGGGTAGGGGGGAGGAGGTCATGTATGATACCTGCAGGTTGTTTTTTATTCAAGCCTTGGCGGTCAATTAATTAATTTACTGAAAGTTGTTTTACAATACAAAATGTTTCAATGCCAATGCCAATCTTTAATAGTTTCAACTTGACTAAAAAAAATGTATTTTTATGTAAATATTTGAATTATCCTCTACCAGGTTATCTCATCCATGTCTGCTTCATCCAATAACCTTCAATACGGATCCATTCCAACGTCAAATGTTTTCTATTTAAAATTGTTGGAAACATTCATAGTTTAGACATTTTATAGATTGGGCATTTCAAAGATTGTACATTTCATAGATTAGACATTTAAAAGATTGGACATTTAAAAGATTGGACATTTCATAGATTGGAAATTTCATTGATTGGACATTCTATAGGTTGGACATTTCATAGATTGGACATTTCATAGATTGGACATTTCATAGATGGGACATATCATAGACAGGACATTTCATAGATGGTTATTTCATAGAAAATCATAGATAGGACAAATCATTACTTTTTACAGATAAAATAAAATAAAGATTGGACATTTAATGGATAGGGAATTTCATAGATAGGACATTTTACAGATCGGACATTTCATAGATTAGACATTTCATAGATAGGACATTTCATAGATCGGAAATTTCATAGATCGGAAATTTCATAGAATAGACATCTCATAGACAGGACATTTCATAGATCGGACATTTCATAGATTTTTGGACGTTTCATACATAGGAAATTTCATTAACAGGGTATTTAATAGAAAGACCATATATTATAGAAAAACAGATTCAAAGAAATGACATTTTTAAATAGGACATTTGATAAACAGATAATATCTACAGACAGGACGATTCACTGAGAGAATTTTGAATAGATTAGGTCATTTCATAGATTTCTTGATATGTGAAAATTCAAGGTATAAAGGGCATTTAAAGACAGAAAAGAATTCTAATATATGGGTAAAATTTTCGATTTAAAGAAATATTGTGTTTATATTTACAAATAATATAAAAATGCACTTATATTTTATTGCTGTATTTGTCTCAAATAACAAGATATCAACAAGATATTTATTAGTTGTTTAGAGCGAAAAATGGATAATATGTGAAGTAAATATTAAAAAAATCGAAGAAATGACAGGGTACGTTTTATTTAATAAGACTACTACAAATAATAACTTACTTAATTTGTTCCATGGAATGCCTTATCTAGAGATGTGATGTCATCTCTTTAAATAGAAATAGTTTAAAGGGAGTGTCAGCGAAATTGCAAGTAACCTTAGTGCAAAGATGGTAATTTCTAATTAACACCCGGACCATAAAAGCTTTATCTGATCAAGTATGAATTAAATATCAGTTTTTATTATATTACAAACTGATTATTTTCAATTGTGGTTTCTCTGCAAAAGTCCATTTCTACTGCAGGAAAACATATAGGAATTATTAGAATTTAACAATTTAGAAATATAAAACGACATTAGCTATTTTTGTGCAAAATATATTATATCATGAGAGTTCAATTGATTTGAACTTCAAAATTTTAAAAATACTCAATAATTTGAAACAGTGATTTTATTTCTCATAAATAATAATAAAGTATAAATTCATATTTAATAATGAAAAAGCCAATCAAGTTGATTAAAATTGTGAGCAGCAAAATAAAGGTTTAATTTGATCTTCTAAAATGGAAGCTTCACATTGTCCCATGGAAAACAAGGAAATTTAAACCCCGCTTATTTTGTAATATTGAACCTTGGACGAAAAATATGTATGAATCGAAAAAAAGAAATTATCTCAACTTTAACCTGTTGACGTGTAAACCTTTTATATTTCATATTTGGTTAAAAAGATTTAGGAATTATAGAAAAATTGAGTTTGTGGCAAAACTCTATTCCTTTAGCAGTCCTTTTAAATAATTTTACCCTGATATTAGATATTTTATTCTTATCATAGAGTTACTTCGTACACAAAAGTGAGATGGTAAAATATTATGAAAAAACAACAACAAATAAAGTCAGTCAGTACAGAAACGTTTATCATAGTTAAGATCTCAATATCCACAAAATTGTGAAGAACAAGGTTCATCTTTAAATTTGAGTAATTCGTGAAGAATTGGTAATTTCCATTCTTAATCTAAAGCATGAAATGTTTTAACCATAGATAAATAAATAAACATAGATAGCTTATGTACGCAAAATCAACAAGAATTGTACAGTCCACGAACTCATACTTCTAGGGGTCAAAGTGTACTTCAATGATAAGCAGGGCAGTTTGGTATTTTAATGGATTTCATAATTATTAAACCACTCAAGAGTGAATTTTATTTTGAGAATATCAAATTATCAAATAATCATATTGACGAGAACTGAAGAAGGACATGAGAAGGATTAAACTAACTTAAATTTCTCTCTACAGAACTCATGTACACCATAAGTACTCAATGACATAAGAACAGCCAATGTTCACAACCGACCTAGTTAATCTATATAATAGGAATATCTTTAAAACATCTCTGTACATTTATATCTTTCAAGATGAAAAATGTCGTCTTATGCGCAATCTATCTTAATCTATGGTTTTAACGCTGAAAAAATGTTAGAGATTCTACAAAAGTTCAAGGATTTATTTGTTCTAAAAATGCAATATATCTATACACTGCAATCCCGGGATTATTTTGTTCACAATTGATTACATATCAGAAGAGAAATTAAAAAAGCATCGCACTTTTTTTCTAAACATATTCACTGTATTTAACAGTAAGTTGTACATTTTTTGTTATTTTTGAACATTTACTGATCGCAAATTTTGACCCTCATGGGAATTATTAACTGTTAATATTTTGAACTAGGGAAAAAAGATTAATTGCACGAAAACAGATGGCAAATCGTTGTTTTGGAACTTCCAGCATTTTATCCATTTTTTGGGAAACATTAATTTGAACTCGAAAAAAAATCGACTCGGGTTCATTTGTAGAAAGTACATAATGATTAAAGTGTAGGAAAATCTATGTATTTAGAAATGGCAGATATAAGTTATCTATTAGATTCCAAAAACAATAAAATTAAAATTAAAAGATTTTTAAAGAACTTTTAAACAAAAAAAGTTCTTCTGTAAAGTTACACCTATAATGAAAGTTATTCAATATATTTAAAGACCGCCTTAACTTTGAGGTGTCGTAATGGCTTGGGCATTTGTTTTACTCGGTGTAAACAAAGGACAGTTTACTGATCAAGGATATAAAGGAGATTATGACCTAAACATACAGTACACGCATCAAATATGCAGTAAGCTTTCGAAGTACAAGTGTATGGCTGTAATAGTACGTCTTCCTGTGGAAAATGTATAATCCTGCACACGATAAAGTTGGAGTGGATTACAATAGTTAAATGGAATAAATAAATAATTTCAGAAATCACCCCCGAGTACAGATTGACCTTTGGAATTGGAGTACATGGCCTGTACAATGAGTAAAGGATTAGCATACATCATCACTCTATATACTATAACCTCGTTGGTTTTACCTCAATAACATTTTTGTAGCCTTGGGCATATAAATTTTAAATATTTCATACTTTTGTTTGCAGTGTGTCTTATTCCTTATGCTGTTAAGATCCCTAAATAGACATTTTCTACAATGAATATAATTATATTGATTTTCTTCTAAGATGGGTTGCAAAGTTTTAAGATTATATTGATTGAGCGGGTTATAGCATGATTGAACCTAAGCCTGGAAAGCTGATCTATCCTTATTTGGACGGATATTGTAAAAACGGTTCAAGGACAGAACATGTTCAATCTATTTTTTACCCAAATGTTGAAAAAACATTGTTTGGCACAAATTAGTTTAACGTAAAGTTTAAAATAAGAACTTTCTACAAACCAAAATCTGAATGGTAGTAAAGTTTTTTTCCGTTAGTGAACGGAATTTTTATATTAAACGGAAAATACCGTTCACACGCACCCCTTCATCTATTTTAAATTAAAGCAGCGTGATCTGGAAGTAAACTATGGTTCAAAATGAATAAAGTCTGTAAACAAGAAACTAATTTTCTGCGGTTGGCAGGAAATCTTTTGGCTTGGATCTCCAGGTTTGCACAAATGAGATGTTGAGGGAATCGTAAAACTCGAGATGTAATGGATGAACTTAAGAGATGTATATGGCATGGAAAGGAGGAAAATTCTGCTGATTCAGTGGGATTATTAGAACCGGGGGACATGCTAACAAACCATTAGACCTTGGCTAGGCTACCATAACCTTTAATAATTCATCTTGATTCAACCAAAAATATTTAATCAAATATATTGAGAATCAAACTTTAGTTAGCATTAAATAGTCTTAAGTTTTAGAAGCAATTATAAATATTTAGGTTAAGTAAATATACAAAATGAGAAAATGAACATGTTTTCTAAACCATATATTTGTTACGGGTTTCCAGTAAGTTTTACATTTTGTTTCTGATTTTGTAATCACTATTTGTCAAAGACCATAGATATTTTAGACTGTGAACTCTGTTGGATCAAAGAATGAAAGTTTGAAATATCCAAGGTTATAATGCAAGGAATATTATTTCAGAGGTGTACAAATCTTTTGTACTGCAGTGTACTGTCTCTGGACGGTAATGTAAACACAGACGGATGTCACAACCTGACATGGGATCCATCTTTCACATAAAAAATCAATGAAATATTCTGGTCATAAGAAACTACTAAGGGAATTATCAAGATTTTCAAAATTCAATGCTTTCATCCTCCTCGGATACTAAACGAACACTGATGTATCTATTCTTGCTTACAAATTCCTCCCAGAGAGAACTGGTTTCAATATGTGCACAGAGTATACCCAACTGCAATTATCTTTCCTTGCATTTATAACCTTGGAAATATCAAAGATTTACACCATCCAGTTGCATAGATAAACAGATTAGAAAATTGGAATTTGTGGCAAAAACTCCGTTCCTTCGTAAAAAAAACATATGGGGTTTATTCTAGAAAACAGAAAATAGATTTTATTCTAGAAAACAGAAAATGATCATTCTAAGTGAAAATTTCGTGACAAACTTCAATCTTTCTGGCTAAAGTTTGTTCTATAGAATATATAGGATAAGTAACATTTTTCTATTCAATCAATCGCTTAATCAAACAATTAGTAAATGTGCATTGTGCAACTAATGTTTATGTTCAGGTTTCCAAGATGTTACTCGGAGTCCAGGGGAGCCTTTGACCGACAGCAGTTCAGGAATCTAGACAAAATAGAGACAATCGGTTAGTTTTGTATAATTATACTCAGAGCAGTTCAGGAATCTAGACAAAATAGAGACAATCGGTTAGTTTTGTATAATTATACTCAGAGCAGTTCAGGAATCTAGACAAAATAGAGACTTGATTAGTTGCAATATAATTATACTCAGAGCAGTTCAGGAATCTAGACAAAATAGAGACTTGATTAGTTGCAATATAATTATAGTCTGAGCAGTTTAGGAATCTAGACAAAAAAACTGCTACCACAGAAAAAAAAACGCTAAACTAATTGAGTAAAGTTATTTTTTGCACCGAATAATGTTATTGAAAATAAAGCAAGTGAGGCAACCAAAATTTTAAACAATTTTAAGATTCTCTAGTTTTCTTTACAGTTCATTATATGCAAATTTTCCCGTGCAGACAAAAGAAGATTTTAAATTACTTTAATTGTTACTTTTTCTAATATGTTTAGTAAGAGCCAATTATGTCGGGAAAACAACAGACGAGTTTTTTTCTTTCAGGTGAGGAGAGACTGAGGCATATGTCGGAGGGAGCAAAGCGAGGGCGTAGTTTATCCCGAGGAAGTGGAGGTTTGAGTGGGCGGGGCGGAAGTGGAGGCTGGGGGCTCAGGGGTAAGGGTGGAGTAGGTGTATGGGAGGGCAGGGGCGTATTTGGCAGTGAATATATGAACCCTGAGAGAAAATATGAGATTTCTGAAGGTTACTCTCATCATCTCTCCAACTCGTCTCTGGGGTAAGGAATATCAAGATTCACAAATACAGCTGGTGCTTCGTGAAAATGAAAATTGAGAGAAAGTTTAAGAATCGTCTGTGATATTTGTAATAATTTGCGGCATTCACTCGTCAACATGCTTTACAAATAGGATACAGCTGAACATAAATCACTAAATGCCCCTAGTCTTGGGATTTCAAAAATTTGGTCGGACTTTCTGTGTTTTTAATACTACAGGAGCCAACAAAGAATTTCGTTCAGATTTTCAAAGAAGGCACACCACATTTTGGAAATCTCAGGACTTGGGGTTTTTTGTCTTTTAACAATAGGTTGACCATTTAATGCTGCAAATTATTTTTTAAAGTTGTCTAATAATTCTCTCTATTTTGTGACACTGCATCCTGTAAATTAAAATATTTAAAAAGAACATTTTATCTAATTAATGTTAATAAAAATTTTATTTTATAAGCACTTTAACGATTATTGCTCAAAACTTTAGGTTTTACAAGTTGTATCAACGACTCGAGTTTAATGGTATTAGATTCAATTTAATTAAATTCTACAAACTTAAATAGGATAGAATATGCTTTAGCAAGTTAGGAAAGTTATACCCTGCTTCTAATTTCTAATTGAATTTTATTGAATTCATATAAAAAATATTTAAATATTATGCAAATTTTTGGATTTAATGGAATTTATTTTTTACTTTTGTAATATTTCCCCCCCCCCANTTCATTTATTCATTTATTCATTTATTCATTTATTCATTTATTCATTTATTCATTTATTCATTTATTCATTTATTCATTTATTCATTTATTCATTTATTCATTTATTCATTTATTCATTTATTCATTTATTCATTTATTCATTTATTCATTTATTCATTTATTCATTTATTCATTTATTCATTTATTCATTTATTCATTTATTCATTTATTCATTTATTCATTTATTCATTTATTCATTTATTCATTTATTCATTTATTCATTTATTCATTTATTCATTTATTCATTTATTCATTTATTCATTTATTCATTTATTCATTTATTCATTTATTCATTTATTCATTTATTCATTTATTCATTTATTCATTTATTCATTTATTGCATCATCAGTCCTTTTAAGATACTGATGTTTACTTGAATATATACTTCAATTAAAACCTATTCACAAAAAATTCTATTCTAATCAATAATAAAATATTTATAGTTATAAGAGTCAGAGTTACAAATCCTAATTATTTATTTTAAGGACAAACATTAAATAGTAAATTATAAGAATTGTTGCATGTTCTTAATTTTGCATTTATTTTACAAATAGTTCAACTTTAATACTTTGCAAGAAACATTTTCTTACATAATTTTGATTATATGAACCTCTGTAAGTGATTCACATTAGAACTGAATAACAATGACGACTATCAGAATCAGTTTTGGGAATTTCCGTGTCCCTGTCCCAATAAACTTGGGAATTTTTAAGACGACTTGAAAGTCGTCTTTAATTTCTATTTTTAAATGCTTGGCAAAAAAAGTATTAAAACGAGGCTGTACGTCTTTCGAGCTTTTCATAGAGTGGTCTATCTACCTTTCTTGATCTTTAAAATTGAAGAAAATATTAGGCATTAAGCCAAATTTGATTTATTAAATAAATTGAAGTTAATTTTGAAGATACAAAAATGGTAGACCACATTTTGAAAATTATAAGACCGGTGTTTTCGATATTAGATCTGTTTTAACTGGAATACTGCAATTAATGTGTTCATAAAAAGTGTCCGCATGAATTGAAGACGATATAAAAATCGTCGTTTAATTCCCCTGTATATTGGGCACCATGTATATAAATCCATGAATGTTAGAAAAGCTGTTTTATTGTATTTTCAAATGGAAAACTTTACCATCAGTCGTCAGAAACAGGTTTCATGGTTGCCCTTTCTGAAAGGTTAAAAAAAGTACGCTAACATTTTCTTTAGCTTTTCATGTGTTATCTATAGTCATTCGTTACCCCCCCCCCTATACAATCCCAGATTCCTTAATTGTTTTTGTTTTAATTTTGTAATCCCAAATTCCTAGACTGTATTTGTTTTAATTTTACAATTAAAGTCTGAAATTTCTAGATCGTATTATTTTCAATTTTACAATCCAGATTCTTGGCCTACATTTTCCAGGGTAGGCCATATTATTTGAGATTTATGTGTGTTTGAGTTTTTTAATAAAGAATTTTATTTGTGGCATACAAATGTTATTTTTAGTCAATAACTAACTTTTACAGGCTAAAAGTCTTTCATCATAATCTACTTTGCTTACGCATCTTAACCCCTAGCTATTTCGCCTTTGGAAAGTTTTTTTTCTTTTCTTGGAAATTTTTGATCAAAACTTTAATTTTGTTTGCACCCTCCCCCCCCCCCCTTAAATTGGAATTGATTTTTTTTGTGATTAAAGGGTCTTCTTATTTTGCAATTTTTTCTGTTTGCTAAAATGTAATATTTATTTCATGAGAAAAAGTCCCCAAAAAATCGATAAGCTTACTTGCAGGCAATATAGTTCTACTCTTGCAATTCATTATTATACTTAGTGAAGGGGGGGGGGGTCCCATTAAACATATAAATTTAGTGACAAATTCGAGATTATATATTTTCAAGAATTAGCATAGTAACAAATGTTTTCAAAAGTCAAAGTACGGTATAAGGCTGTACTGTAACACAAGAACCCTAAAGGGGGCTGGTTCATTTGGTGTACTGTTTGTTTTACCTGGTATAATCTGTATGTGTACTGTACAGCTCGCTCTAGCTGGTTAGATGTCGACCCGGTTCTTGAAATGAACCGGACTTAACAGTGATAATGTGTCTGTTCCTGTAAGATTGACAGTGGTCAGTGACGACAGACAAGCGTACTTTATTTTTGTACACTGGCATTTTCTTGATTTACATTTGCAACCAAAACATAAACAAAGTATAAAATTTATACCGGACGAAAATCCTATAACCATAGAGAATAGAATATATAGAGAGGAAATTACTAGAAAAAAGTGTAAAACGGCCATTTTGTTAGAAGTTGAAATGAATAGTCTAGGGAACATACTGTATTAATGTACTCTACTGCATATAATTTGTGAAAATTTACATGATTTGTACACTTTGAACTCCCTTTCAGGCTGAAAGGGACTGAAAAAAATTCATACCGAGAGATTCTTTTAATTCCTCTCTATATATTCTATTCTCTATGCCTATAACGCAATACCGAATGGTGTCACTATTCTAAATAGGAAAAACCAGATCTCGATATTATTTCTCAATTCCCAAGGTTGTAATGTAAGGAAAGTTAATTGCAGTTGCGTCAACTCTGCGTACATATTGAAACCAGTTCTCTCTGGGCGGAATTTGTAAACTATAATAGATGCATCAGTGTTCGTTTAGTATCCGCGGAGGTTAAAAACATTAAATTTTGATAAGTTAATAACAATATAGTTTCCTATGACCAGAATATTTCATTGATTTTTAATGTAAAAGATGGATCCCATGTCAGGCTTCGACATCCGTCTTGTGTTTACATTACCACCCTGAGACAGTACACTGCAGTAAAAAAGATGCGTACACACCTGAAATAAATTTCCTTGCATTATAACCTTGTCAATTCTCATGTTTGCATCAAATTGCAAGATCGGGTCTTCTTCGAAATGTCGCAACGACTTAGCCTTTGTGGTTTACTATACATGCATAAGTCAAATTGCAGACGTGTTTGCATTTCAACAAAGTACTGGTTTCTACATTTAGTTTAAAAGAAGTATTTGGCAATATCGTGATTACCTAATTCGTATTTACACAAGCTAGAAAATAAAAATTTCAAAATCAAATTGTAACTAAATGTATCTAAATTGAAATAAGAGTTAATAAAGATGTTGGCATTATCTGTTTCTGTCTTTTTGTATTTTTCATTATTATTATTTATATGATATTATAAAATGTTAGTCTTTTATCAAATTATAATAGTGTCCCTAATTAAATCCAGAAGTTTAGACGCTATCAACACACTCAACATAGATCATCTTGACTGATTCTCTATTGAATTTCAGACGAAATCAGAAAGTAATTTTGAAATTTTCTTAAATGATTTTTACTTTTCAACAAGAACATAAAAAAAACTCTTATAAAAGTGTGAGTTTTTGCATTTTTTTCTATATTTGCAACTCAGGGTTCGCGAAAACGTTGCAAAATTGAGGCTTCGAAAATCGGGAGTAAAGGATTCACCATAATTTACTGTGAACTTAACAAAAGGAGAATGTCTAATTTATGCGACTGTCTACGACTTAGTTTTGATTTTATGCACAAATATAAAAATGAAAATTTACTTGGTTTATATTTCTTCCTCTTTAATAACAGGAGATGTTTAACATTCAAAATTTTTATCAAACGTGCAATTTACGTTAATTTAACATGAATTAAATATCCAACTAATCGGTTTTATTTGTATTTCTATCTAATGTTTTTGTACTGAGTATTTTAAAAAAGCTATCCACCGAGCTGGCCAACGAGAAATTCGTTTTATTTATTCTCTTCAGAGAAGTATAAAACATGCATAAATAGATTCCAAACATAAATAAATTCACAATTTATTTCAGTCTCGATCATCTTGTTATTTCGTTTGCTATCAGGGAGCTTTCCCTGAAGATGTTCAATATTATTGTGACACCCTGTATTTAATGTTGAAATCTCTAGGATATGTCAGCTGCCGAGCCTTGAACCCTCCAACCACCTGATCTCTCCTTGTAGATGCCTTGGATCCATTAGATACGTTCATAATCCCTGCCTTCTGGTAATATATAGATATGTTCATATAATCCCTGCCTTCTGGTAATATATAGATTTCTTTATATAATCCCTGCCTTCTGGTAATATATAGAT